ATCTCTTTTAATGGAAAAAAATTTAAATTTTTTAGTGAAATTTTAATTCTACATATTTAAAGGMTTAACTTCTCAATCAAATTTTTTTCAAATTTTTTTTCTCTCTCTCCCTCTTTCCTCACCCCAACTTAAATGCCATTGTCCCTAATGGCATAACTAGGATGTTGCAAAGGGACTCGGGACAAAGGGAACAATCGAGAGGGTTTTCTCGAGGGGTTCAAGGTCTGCCAACTGGTCTTGAATCAAAAACCAAAAACTCTAATCCTAAAGACAACTGGAAACTATGTTAGGTTGCCTCCCAACCAACGCTAAGTTTAACGTCTTCAGCCAGACACATTCATTCATCTCCTTCATCTAAACTCTCAGACTCACTTTTTCTTCTTCATACAAATAGAGCTTAGACTGGGCTAACCAAGGGGCAAACAGGGCATCTAAAAGATCATCAACTACATCTATCTTGCACTCATCTTCCCCTAGATTTATATAGTTAGAGGCACCAAAAACATTTAACTAGATTTTCTGCTCCCCAAATGAAATGTCAATTTCTCCCGATTTACAATTGATGTTTGCATTGGTCGTTGCTAGAAACGAGCGTCCTAGGATTATCGAGTTATGGTTTAGTTCCTTGGTTGGGGTCATGTCTAGGACAACAAAGTCTACGGGGAAATAACAATCATCTATCCTAATAATGACGTCCTCGATAACACCTCCAAGAGTCTTGACCGACCAATCAGCGAGTTGCAGAATTACCGGGGTGGGTTTTAACTCGCCGATCCTGAACCTTTCATAGATAATGGACGAAAGCAGGTTTACACTGGCCCCAAGATCCAATAGGGCCCGATTAAAGGTGATTCCAGAGATGACATAGCTTATGAGTGGAGCACCCGGGTCTTTCATCTTCTAGGGAAGTTGGTTTAGGAGGACCGCACTAACATCTGCCGATGGTCGTTCTCTAGTGCGTCGGAAATGGCCAACTCCAACCACAGTGATGATAAAATAGTGCCTCTTCTAGTTTGGGACTTTGTTGGGGACACCATACAGGATCTTGTACCCAGGTCAGGGGGTCAGGTTGTAACTATGGTGTTCAGAAGAAGGAAGACCGGTAGAGTTCTTCTTAATAGAATAGATCAAGGTAAAGGTGTCCATGGTCAAAGGTTTATCGAAGTGGTGAAATAGGGAGATGGTACCAACTATAGAGCGAACTGAGTTCGGGTGAAGCTGACCTATGGTTATGTTAAAAATCAGAGAATCTTCATGATGAACAGGTGGAACGGGAAGCGCAACTCGGCTGTCAGCTGTTCCTCGAACACCACGACCTCGTCGGGATCATGGTCCCAAGGATATCCCTCCAAAGGGATACACCAGCTGTGGTCCTCAAGGAACTTGTAGTGCTCAACCAATGTTTGTATCCTCTTCGCAGTCATCATGGAAGAACCAAAGCAATTCGGCCCCAGCCTCAAAGAACTACGGGAGCTCGACGCTTCCTTCTCAGAGTCTTCCCACTCTTTTGTTTGGGAATCCACCTCGGGCGGGCTGGGCTCGGAACCTTGTGCCGAGGTGCCTACCTCGATAGGACCAAACTCTACTTCTTGGMCCGAGGAGTCCACCTTAGTCCCACTTGACTCGTTACTGGCATTCAACAGACTACCAGTGCTAACACTCGACATCGTAATCAAAGGAAAACAAGTAGGAACGAAGAAGGCTTTCCTAAGCCAAAGAGAAGAGAGATGACTTCGAAGAACAAGAATAGGTGACACCGACATGGAAGTGGACATGCGAGCTCAGAATACGAACGCACAAATCRCGACATAGAAAATGGGGAATCCATGACCCCTATTTATAGCCACTGTAGTCGATTTTGGACAGGCAAGATCAACGTAATCCGATGGCTCCCATGAAAACCGACTACATTCCTCTCAAGGCTGAAATTAGTTGAGAACACGTTTTGACGTCCGCACGTTCCTAGTACGCGATCTAGTTTCCTGGTCGAACCGTACGGGTCACTGAGATCAAACCGTCAGATCGGCCAAAGCCAAATCCACCTCAACCCAACATGAACTCCTCACATCGGGTTGTGACCCGCGCACGAGTGGGGGGCAATTTATGAGGGGTGATTTAGCCCAACCTAATGAACAGAGAACACGTGGATGCGACTTGTTGACCAAACGATTACTCAACATTGGTTGCCACGTTAGCAGATCAGGGGACCTCGGGTGTCTTGCTACTTTGGGCAACATTAGAGCCCAGGCACCTCAGTACCCATGTACGTCGAGGTGACATGTAATAGATTCTAGAATCTCTCCTGCTGTGTCCAAGTCTTTTGGGGTCAAATCGCAAAACTATAGGCCTTATTCGTATCCCGCCCGTATCGGATGGACACGATATGCACAATCAGTTAGCACGTTATCCACCTATCGGTGCATAATGGACTCCTACTTGTTCAGCCCAAAGATCTCGGAAAGGCTTTGTGAGGCCCACAACAACCTTGCCATATAAAGGCATCAACCCCCAAGATTAAGGTTCGCGCGATTAAGTGCATTCTAGCTCTCTACCATATTGATTTCCAGCTCGCATCTACCTATCGAGTACTAACTTAAGCATTGGAGCGACCTCACCAGGTTAGCCACCCCGGGTTCTCTGATCCCTTTCTCTTGCAATTTGGGCGATCCACTTGGCAACCAACGTCCGAGCTGCCTTATATCTAGGAGCATCCAGATCACGCATGATCAAGGGTGAAGATGAGTTTTGGGATTTTAAAACCCGTACAGGTACAGGCTGTTAGGTATTGTATTAGGCTAAACCTAACCCTCCCTGGTCTGTCCCAACCCGTAAGACCATAATACACATCTTAGACAATGCATATTATGTATTATATGTTAAATTTAATAATGTGTTTAAAGAATGATTGATGGCCTGTGCATTTTTTATATGTTTTGATAAAGATCAAAAGTTGTGAAGGGTCTCAGGGTAGCTTGGAGCATACCTGCAAAAGAAGACAAAGTCAGAGGGCCCAGGGTGAGATCCCAAGCTTAGGTCTTTGACAAGCAAGTCAGTAAGGCCGATCTATCCGAGGTGGTTAGGCAGATAATTAATGAAACCAAAAGTATGAAATGAATGCAAAAATAACCTTTAAATAGGTTTCGGGTGCTCAAGCCAAAAGTACACGTGTCGRAGAGGTGTAGAACACCTAGAGGCTCTGTGAGACACTTGGAGTCCGGTCAAGACACCTGGAACTCAGGGCATGACCCTTGGAGTTGAAGTGGAACATGTACAAGTGACTCACGCACCATGTTGTTGATGCATGGAGGAAGCCTGGGGCCCATTGATTGATGAGATAGTCATGTGTGATGATGACGATGTCAGTCATGGCTGTTAGATGACCAATCTATGCACACATGGTGGAGCTCGAGTGTGCTTCTTCTGGCGTAACTTGCCTCGAAGGATTGTGTTTCTTTATGCATGGAGCTCAAATCATATGTCGAGCTATCACTTAGTGTGCCATCGGTTAAGCCAGAGCAGTTGTCAAGTCACCTAGGATGAGTTTGACTCGTCACTAGCCAACTATGTAGGGTGAGGTGGTCTATGGGCACCCGAGGTGAGCCCCATAGATCCGAGGTGGAGTCAATCTACCAGGGTGGGAACTCATAGGCATAGATGTGAATATCTTCGAACAAGAAATAATAGGAAACTAGATGTCGGTTCTAGACCTGATAAGTGCGCCTCTAAAGTGCCTCATTGCACGTGTGCACGCGTTGCGTGGTAGCAAGTCTCCATACTCTCTTCTTTATTTCTAAGGACAAGTTTTATAATTTTCCAATGTGGGACAAGTTGAAAACTGGTTTTAGTAAGAGAAAAACTATTTTCCAAGACATGTGTGCAGGTGCTTTTTTTGATCAATCAAACCTCATTTGATTTAATCTCTAATAAGATTAAAATCCAATAGTGAGAACCAATCCAAACGACAAGGAAGTGCCCGCTCCTTCTACTATGGAAACCCTGTTCTTCCAGAGAAGCGACGACAAAGCAAAAACAGAAGAGGGTAAGAGGGTGAGAGAGAGAGAGAGAGGAGAAGGAGTAGGAGGAGGGGTGGGTTGGGTGGGAGAGTGCTAAGGAAAGATAGACGAGATTTAACAGAAAGGTAAAAACTAGCATTTCAACCTTTTTGATATTTAACGACAATGACAATTTTACGAAACAGTAGGGGTAGCGTTAGACAAAAATCAAAGAGTAGGAATTTACTTAATCAATTGGCTAAATAATAAAAATAGTTTAAGAAATTTACGCATAAAATTGCAACTGAAATTCTCATTTTTTTATTGCTCATAAAACTTTGAATTGTGTTTTTTTTCATAAAAATCAGCCTTAATGATAATTGGATGATATTATTTGATACATTCTTTGACTCTTTAACTAAATGAATCTACTTGCAACTGTGTAATAAAGTTCAATTTCAGCAATTTACCTTTTAGGTATATATAAATCGAATTGAATCAGATTATTAGATAGGGGTGCATCCATATTCGATCTTATTATAAACACATCGAACTTCAATCACCAGTTAACATAATGTTCGGATGAATATATACCATTTGCAGCCCTAAAAGTTTTTTGTTGAAATTGTTAGGCTGAAAGCGTGAAACTTACTAAAAGAGGATGGACCCGTCTGGGTAAAAATATCTTGGATATTTTAAATTCTTTGCAGTCCAGCAGACACGTTCCCGTGTATGAATCGAGTTCAAATCTGCCCCCACAACGTCCCACAACACATCCTCTTCTTGTATTAAAAACATCTCCCGATAATAATATCTCGAGTCATCGGGAGATATTCTCAATACATGTGCTGTGAGACATTGTGGGGAGCAGATTCGGTCATACATTCAACGTCCGAAAGCTAAAACCCCGACATCATTAATTTACCATAAATTATAATGTTCCTTTCAAATTCAAGATTTGGATATAAATAAATACTAGTCTCACTCTAGTGGCTCTGAGCCCTCTGCCTCTCCCCCCTGCCCCCTTCATTTCCGCAAGTCCACCTCCTTACCCGCCCATTTATCCGGATCACCCAGCTGAGAAAGAAAACAATGCTATATATTGGCTATGGCCAATGGACCACACCTCCCAATTTCCTAAGAAGCCAAAGCTTTCATACCTCTCCCACATGGCCCAAGCCCATCTTTTCGGCCCATCTTCTGACTTCCCCACCCCACCGGCCCACCCCCCGCACTTCATAAGTCATCACCTCTCCGCATACTCTCTCTCTCTCTCCAAATTCCCATATTTGCTTTCTTTCAATGTCTTTCTGAGAGAATTCGTAAGTTACTCGGAACCTTCTCGTCGAGAGGGACCGACCCCTGCAGCCGAAAACATGCAACCATGGGTCGACGACCTCGCCGACGATCTCCTGAGCATGAGCTTCAACTCCACTACTACCGCGACAGATATCAACTGCAGTACCAGCTCCGGCTCCGAGACAACCTGGACTGCGTCCAGTTTCGGATCCATCTCCACTAAACCACACGCCTCCTCTGGAGACCCCTGCTGGGATGGGATTCAGCGCGTTAGATCGGAATCCCCTAATGGTGGACTCGGACTCCATGACTTGAGATTCGTCCAGAGACTCGGTAGCGGTGATATCGGGAGTGTCTACCTTGTGGAACTAAAAGGCGCCCCGGGGTGTACCTTTGCTGCCAAAGTGATGGATAAGAAGGAACTCGCGGCTCGGAACAAAGAAGGTAGAGCGCGGACTGAGAAGGAAATATTGGAMATGCTGGATCATCCGTTTCTACCCACGCTTTACGCGAGCTTGGACTCCGCGAAGTGGCCGTGTTTGTTGACCGACTTCTGTCCCGGCGGTGACTTACACGTTCTCCGGCAACGACAGCCTGGGAAGTGGTTCGACGAACAAGCCGTCAGGTGCGTAACCAAGCTCCCCCCCCCCTCCTCTCTCTCTCTCTCTCTCTTGTTTTCCTGTTAGTTTCTCTTTGATACACACCAATACACAATCCTCACTTTGGGTATCATAGAAACCATCCTTTTACCTTGGGATGCAATGATGGATGCAGTGTGGGGTCCATCACCTGGTCGACGCATAGGCTGTCGGTGGTGGGCCCGGTGTCCATCACTGTTTTGCCGGTCGACGAACTTGATCGGACATTGTTTCAGCTGTCTCCATAATACACCTGGTAATCTCAGTATTTTGGACGTGTCGTTAAGTTTTCGATTCAGAAATTCAGAACAGATAGTTGTGGCCTTGTGGGATTTTGAACTTCGACGGGAGTTAGGACGTCCCATTTGACAATTTATTGCTACTTTCTTTTCGTAACTTTTGGGGTTTGTTTTGCAAAAATATTACTGTAATGCCACATCCACTATACTTCGCAGTTTGCACTAATAATGCTATAGCGTATTTACTGACGATGACGGGACTGTACACGTGGCCACTCAGGAATCATGTTTGGCAGTTTGGCTGAAGGGTTTGGATTATCCACATCGTCCCCTCTGACTCGTCGTCAGTATTGTCGTCAATCTTTCTGACAAAAATCCGACGGTTAAAAGGCTATGCCCCCACGTGAGTTTACCATCACCAAAACGCTTCAGAATTTCTTCAAGCGTATACGTCCCGGGATCCATGGTATGGTGCCTAGTGAGGTACTTGAGAGAATCGGTTCTCTCGTACCATTAACAGGGACATTTTAGTACTTTTGCTCGCGTATCTTAATCTCTATTCTATATCTAATAGAATTGGCCGGATTTGCGTGGCTTTGTTTCCTCTTTTGCCGTTTCCTCGTTCTCTTTCGTCTTTTCAAGAGTTGGATGTCGGAATTCGGAAGGGGGAAGGATATTATTTCTCCTATTGATGGCATTGTCGCAATTCTCTAGAAAACGAGTCCTCCTCACTTGTCTCTGCATCCATAAACTCTCTAGCAGGCCATCCGATTGGAATCCRTGTGGGACCCGATTGAGTTAAATGAGTTCTCTATTAATTAATTTTAATTAATTGCTTAGATTATTGATGTGGAAGCTTGTTGTCTCCGTTGCTTCTAGGTTCTACGCATCCGAGGTGGTAGTCGCTCTGGAGTACGTTCACATGATGGGTATCGTCTACAGAGATCTCAAGCCCGAAAATGTGCTTGTGAAATCGGACGGACACATCATGCTGACCGATTTTGACCTCTCGTTAAAATGCGATAATTCGACATCAACGGCTCAGATCGTCTCCGATCAGAACCCACCGGCCCCAGCCCCGTCTGGTGACTACCCGGCTGACCAACCTCCATTTATCTCTGCTTCATGCATCCTTCCCAGCTGCATCGTTCCGGCAGTGTCGTGCTTCCAACCGAAACGCAAGCGCAAGAAGAAACCCGGGCACCGAGGCGGCCCGGAAGTGGTCGCTGAACCGGTCGACCTCAGATCGATGTCTTTCGTTGGCACCCACGAGTACCTGGCACCGGAAATTGTATCGGGTGAAGGCCATGGAAGCGCAGTGGATTGGTGGACACTCGGTATATTCATATACGAATTATTATACGGGGTGACGCCCTTTAAGGGCATGGACAATGAGCTAACCCTAGCCAACATCGTAGCTCGGGCACTTGAGTTCCCGAAGGAACCGGCTATCTCGGCGTCGGCGAAGGATTTGATCACGCAACTGGTAGTTAAGGATCCGGCGAGGCGACTAGGGTCGATGATGGGCGCGACGGCGATCAAGCACCACCCGTTCTTCCAAGGTGTGAATTGGGCACTTTTGAGGTGCACAACACCACCCCACATCCCGCCACCGTTTATCAGCCGGCCGGATATCTCGGACGACAGTTGCCCTGACACCCCGGTGGAATACTACTAGAACGAGGACATTTGCAATGTTACGTGGAGACATACTTGAATTCACACCGGCACCAAATCAGGTAGATATTGTCGTGGCCGCCCAGTCTATCAACCACAAAACAAGCTGTGGGCCATAGGCATGCTTTGGGTTGGGCTGGGCCCTGGGCCCTGGTTTAAATACGGCACGATGGTGGCTTTTTTGCCACCCAAAGTAGTATTTTCCCAATGCAAAGATATTGTTGTAACTTGTAAGTCAATTATTTTGTCGACTGTCGATGCTGGACTACCGGCAGACATGTACATTTAAAAAACTAAAGAATACTGTTGGCACGTATAGCGTCACTTGGCGGGACCGGGGTGGGGGGTCGTTACTGGTTTACCAATTGCTAAGTGCAACTATGAAAGTGCTTAATTGGTTACAATTTTGCGTTTGCTTGCACCAAGCGTGCCACACTTGTTAAGTTTGTTCATCTCTGTATTTTTTTTAACATAATCATGATGGCGTGGGATTTGGTTTTAGATGTCGAAGTTGTGAGATCGGCTGACTGATTTGCGAGTATGTGAGTGCTTGAAAGCGGGAGAATTTAGAGGTGTTAGGATTAAACTCTAAATTACCGATTAATTAGTATGACAAACAAGAAAAATAATTGAGGAATATGTGAATTATAAAGCAGATAATAAGAGTAAAATAAAGGTAAACATGGCACCAGATTTATGTGGTTCGGTCAAAGAAACATACATCCACGGGAGAAGAAAGAAAACATGTTTATTCATGTCCTTGATGAGAGAACTACAAACTGACCACCTTACTAGTGCCGAAATGCCTTTAACAAAGCTTTGAAGCACTCAAAAAAATGGCATAGATGACTGCTTTGAAATGGTGTGAGAGAAACCCTTAATGGCAGCAGTGAAGAAGAAGAACGATCCAAACAGAATAGGAGCAGATCTTGTCAGAAGATGGTGATGAAGTTCTCCCAATCTTTTCAGCCTTCTAATGCTCTCTCTCCATACTCCTACTACCCCCAGGAGGCACCCCTTTTATAGAAGAAAATAGGGAAGTGGAGGAGTCACAATAAGTGCAGCAGTTTTTGGTGGTGTAATTGTGACTGTTACAACATTCATACCAAAAGATAAATGTAGCAGTTTTTGGTGGTGTAATTGTGACTGTTACAACATTCATACCAAAAGATAAATGTAGTAGTTTTTGGTGGTGTAATTGTAATTGAGGTTGTTGAATTACTTAGCCACACCAAACGTCAACAAGAGGGTTTGAGAGCAAAATCGTGTCTATCTTTTCTGATCAATGAAATGCTTTTATAGAGGCGAAGGTTGTCGTCGTGGATTTCATATAGTGCATTCGAGATCTATGATAGGATGTAAATCACCGATATGTTTCGTTTGGAGGTGATTTCATGCTCAGAGAAGGCTTTTGAGTAAAGTGATAGAATTTATCCCGAAGCGGGTAGAGTGGAAGTCAACTCCATCAATGAGGAAACATGATCCCGTAAGAGTCCGACACAATAGCACACACATAATGAAGGTTGGCCACAACGTCATGCAAGTCGCCCACCAGGCCTTGGTCAGGTTGGTGATGAGAGGTCATCCTTGAAATCACCGACCTAGCCCTATAGAGGTGTCCGCAGGTCAGCCCTGTTGGGGTGGAGTTGGGACAATCAAGGCATGTGAGGTGTGTCAATCCGAAGTTGTTACCTACGTGGCGTTGAGGTGTTATGTGTCAGTTTCGAGGTGCCATGTGTCGCAATGTTATTGCAGGGCCAAATCACCCCTCATCAACATGGAATTTTCAGAAGGAATCATCCACCTCCACGGGTTTTTGTTAAGTAATTATTATTTTATAAGGTAGAAATCGGCCTAGTTGTCTACCACGTGGACCAATTAAAAGGRCATGCATGGTCAAGCCGAGAACTAACATGCATTTGGTTATTGGGGGCCAATAGCCTTTGCTATTGACAACATTTTTTGAAAATGCCACATTACCATAGAGTGGGATAAAATAGTAATTGCTCCTTATTTCTTTTTAACCATAAACATAGACATGGGCGTAAATTGATGAACGTATCCACCATAAAAACACTCTCGACAGCATAGGCTGCCCCCTAACAGCCAAAGTAACTCAAGCCAAGCAAATGATGTTGAATTGACATGGCATATTCCCATCTAACCTATGGGCTAGGGTCAATGAACACTGATGTGGCTCGATCTGCTTGAGTCCTAGTGTGAGAGTAAAGAGTGGTGCGAACCTTGTTTTGAGGCCTGTAAGAGAAAAGATGTCAGGGAGCTTGAATTGTGAGCCTAGGCAAGGAAACTTTGAAGGTCAAGTTAGTGTTGAGCTAGATGATTTGAAAGAGAACTCCGAGTAGAGAGAGCAAAGTAAGCTAGTTCTTCTTGTATGAAAGTGTCATTGTGAAGGCAAATGTCTCCCCCTTTTATAGAGACAAGGTGTGATCAAGGCGCTACTAAGATTCTCGAAAGTAATGGACCTTGACGACCAGATTCTTACGGGCCCTTTGGAGCGTTCTTTAGATGAGCCACTCGTCATTTCCCTAAGAAGTGGAGAGACTCCTGTCATTATTGCCAGGTGTTTGACATGCCTTCGATGATCTCAGAGGCATTGAGTGCCTAGAAGCGCATCCGTCGTACTGATGTGGCAGGTTGGACTTATGTGGCTGAAGTACCAATTTAGTGTCTGGGCCTTCTGATGTCCCAAGGTGTTCGGGTCTGAATCAGGGCCTTGGTCGATCCACTTTGATCGATGTTGGTGACCTCCCAGGGTTCCTTAACATGACATGAACTCGCCCCGATGGCAAATGATTTTGTCGTTTCTACAAGTCTCGAGGCTTTTGAGGTGACAAGTAGCGTTAGATGATCTGTGTATTGGTTTTGCCCATCATCAAACACAATAGGTCTCCGATGAGATAAGGACACATGGTGAATAATGAATACCAATGAAGTCCAGCCTCCACCAAGTTCAACACTAATGCTTCCTGAACTTCTCGTTCCATGGTGTGCAGCTCACACCTCTTTGTGCACTCTTACATTCTAATTCTCCTATTTTCTAGCACTCTTGAGTGTCAAAGTGTTCTTTTCTGAGGATTTACCACGGGACTTCTAACCTTCTCATTGCACAAATCGTCCTATCATATTCAACTCTTCTAGCTTATCAGAACATTTATCTATTGCTCGTTCACCTCGTCATGAATAACATCAATTATTATTATTACTATTTTATTTGTTTAATTTGATAATAATGTCCTATGTCCAGTGCTTTAGAGATTCTTTACCATATGGATTGAAGGGAAAAATTTTTAATACCAAAACCTTAATACGAGATGAGAACACCGAATCAGCCCCCTACAAGTCTCACACTACATCCCGCTATGTATTGAGAACACCTCTCGTGATAATATCAGGAATCCTATGGGAGATGTTTCCAATACACGGCAGAAATATGCGGTGGGGGTGGGGGAGGGGAGTCTTATTGGGGGCTGATTTGAACTCTAATACTGCAATCTTAGAGTCTGACTTGAATACCGTAAACACATGATATCTAAAATACTCCGATCATCCATCAAATAGTATCTTGATATTCGTCAAAAATCTATATAGTGTTTGTTGGGAATATCTATAATGCTGAAAAGACATAATGCCAATAGACTTTGATTAAAATCCACACGATTGATAACCACCCTTTTTATGCCCGTTGATAGATAATAAAATTTTCTTGTATATGTCTTTCTAGCATTATAATCAAGTTTATGTGATAAGCCCGCATATTGACATTACCCATCCTATTGAATCCGAATCTGCTATAATCTCAAAGCAGTGGGCTCTACTCTAGACTAAATGACACTTGTTCTTTACACAGATGACTTTCTTTCCATGTGTGATAAGTTAATAAAATACGTTGTTATTATTCGAGTAAATATTTGTTTTATTATTTGTTTGTTTTTTAAGGATAAATTTGTTAAATTATCCCTACTATTTAGTTAATTGACTAACTCTACCCTTACTATTTAACTATTGTCTTAAACCACTTCTTTTGTTTCTTATAATTGTTATCATTGATAAATCATAACGGAAAAGTATAAAATATCCTTTTTGCCCTCAAGTTAACAGAAACATTCATTCCCTGACCTCTTCTTTCTGTTTCATGTCCTCTCTCTTAATATCCTCCCCCGTTTTGAAACATTTAATATTGAACTAGGCCAAGGTCGATTCTTCTCGCATAGATGAGTCTAAGTCTGAGATTTAGAGTGGCATGAATCTGAGTGAAGAGACGTAGATGGACACTTACAAATTGTTCACTATCATTGATGCTCATGAACCCATTTGAAATTGGGGATTTCCTGCACAGTCACAAATACCACCTCTACTGTCAAATGATGGAGCATYGGGAAGAATTACAACCACCACCACCACAAGGTCCGCCACTAACGCACCCAAAACAATCCTTCTCTCTCTCCCTTCAGTTTATGGAATTCCAAAGTCCAAATCAAAGGGCCCCAAACACAATCCAAATTTTCTATAAACAAAATAAAAGAAGATAAAACAAAAAAAACAACAAAAGAAAAGAAACAAAGGAATAAAACCCTCAACATTCAATGTCTGGAAGAGTGGGAGAGAGGGAGACAAAGAGAGAGTGCACGCTTGCCCAGACATCAGAGAGTTGAAGTGTGTAGATTCTGAAATTATTCACCATCACCAATAACGAAACTGAGGGCTTCCTATACAATAACAAACACCACCTCCACCGTCAAATGATGGAGTAGCCGGAAGAATTACAACCACCACCACCACTGCTAGGTCGGCCACAGACACACTCAGAACAATCCTTCTCTCTCCCTTTGGTTCCTGGAATTATGGTTTTCCGAGATGAAAATGATGAAGATGAAGTCGAGGATATGGCAGTGGACTCATGCCCTAGCTCTTCAAATGCCAACAACGCTCACCACCGTTTTACTACTGCTGACGCCACTACTACCGGCATTGTTCCTGCTAACATGCATCAGCACCCCCCGGCATACATTAACCCCAAACCCCACATCTCCACCCAATTCTACACCTTCAATCGAGAGTCTCATGCCCTAATGGTCCCAGCCTGCTATGGCAACTGGTCTGTACCTCTTCTCGATTAAAAAAACACAAGGGACTTGCAAAACTATTTTTTCTTCATTTTTTCCTTTTTGTTTTAAGATTGAGATAAACCTTTCTCACTGTAGCATGATGATGCATGATTTAATTACAGAGACAACTGCCTAACGAAGAAGAGAAAGAGACACATGTTTGTAAGTATGATATCTATATGCTAAATCCCAACCTTCGACTCGCAAAACTCCGATTGATTGTTGTCGCAAAAAAGAAAACAGAGAATCAATTAAAAAAGAATTTACAACAGTTCTTCGACTCGACTACTGACTGTCGTATACGAGTGG